GAGCATGCCTGTGGTTTACCCTGCCACATTTCTCAGTGGTGATGTTTACATTGATGCATCACCTTAAAGCACCCTGTACCACTCTGTAGGCCTCTGCAAGCCAGACAGCTGTAGTGCCATTCTCTCTTACTCCTATTCTTCTCTTCTTTGGCTTTATCAGTCTCTCATTCCGACACTTCCTCTCTCTTACTCACATTTCTCAAAATCTGCCCATAAACCCTTAATTTCTCCACGTCTCTGCAGCCCAGACGGACGGAGGAATGCGCGTACCACTGGGGTCGCCGCGTGGACACTATATGAGTAACATGCCGGACAGGGGGTAGGGTGGGGGGTGGGGTGGGGGGGGGTATGACTTTTTCAGCAGTTGAGTCTGGCTGAACTTGTTTTGCCCATGTTTGGCAAGAGGAAATGAGTGCTGTGTGCTGTGGGGACGTCTCTGAGCTCCCCACTCCAGCACAGACAGAGAGGTAGACAGGCTAAAAATAGCATTGGGAGCCCAGGTCAGCTTTGAGCCAGGAGTAAGAAGATTGGGGGAGGTGGGCGGATGTGCTTTAAAAAAGCCTTCACTGGTAAAATCACCCGTCTTGACTAATGCCTTACATGAGAGTTGGTGGGACCACTGGGTATGTGTGTGCAGTAAGATGAGCAAGAGAAAAAAGGAGCGAAAGAATGATCTGATGGAGAGTTTAATCTGGGCAGTGAATCCCTGTGAGAGCTCCCAGCCTCTCATCCATTTTCCTCATATCTTTCTCTTCGTGCGCAGTTTATCATATCGCAACAGCGTGCATAACCACAAGTCTCTCATATCTCCCCCGCTGGCAAAGATGGAGTGAATAAATGACCTATGAGACCACAAGATCTTACTGTCAGAGGGAAGCACGGGGTAGGAAGTGTGGAGTCGAGGGAGAAAAGATGAGATGAGATATTGCTTCATGTTTGTGAAAGAAGTATGGTGTGCTACAGGATCTGAAGTAGCAGGGAAAGAAATGTGCTGTTATTGGAGATGGGGGTCAGAATAATGATTTAGAGTAGTAATGATGGTAAGATATCAACAAAATATATGGAGAGACTGGGGATGGTGAAGTGAACAAGGAATATGAGAAATAGCAGCTGGTTCCAAGGCCCAAAATATATTCTCATAGGTTCATTCTGTTCATTTTGTATAACAATACACAAGAACAATGAAACGCATCCCCAGAGAGCATCAAAACAAAAAAAAAAAATGGATGAAAGCACAAGGAAAGAAAAATCTCTCAAAGTCTTCCTAGACATTACAACACAAGGGAAGTGTGTACACTGCGTTCAAGCGCTCCCTGCGTATTACCACACTCAAATGGTTCAGAGTTTAGCCTGGTGTAGTGGAATGCTTGGATAAGTGAAAACAAGGCCTTCTCCAGCACCGCTCACCATCTGCTTCTGTTATGTTCATCTTGAAATGGTAGAGCGTAGCATGTTTGGAGGTATTACAGGGGCTCTGGTAGTCCAAAACAAACCACCCCTATTGTTACTGGCTCAGGCTTACAGTATATTGTGTGTGCATGTGCTTATATGTGTGTGTGTGTGTGTGTGTGTGTGTGTCTGTGTGTGTGTGTGTGTGTGTGTGTGTGTGTATATGTCTGTGTTTATGTAGGTATGCCTTTGTCTTTGTATACTCTGAGATGAATGGCTGTTTATTTGTTTTAAAGCTGCTTTGAGAAGCTGGCTGTGGTTATGATGCGCAGATTTCATTTCTCATTGTTAATTACTTTTTAAAAAGTTGATGTTTCTGATTATGACGTCATTGTTTTTTCTATTCTTTTGCTCCCCTTTTCATACCCCTCACACCCCTCACTGACCGGCCTCTTTCCCTATATTTCACTCTTCTCTTCTCTTCTCTTCTCTTCTCTTCTCTTCTCTTCTCTTCTCTTCTCTTCTCTTCTCCACCCTCTGCCCCTCCCTCTCTCAGAGCTGAGGTCATAGCTGGCTGGCTTCGGAGGTGGGCTGGAGTACAGACATAAGAGAGTCTGTTTTTCTCATTAGTCAGTGGAGCTCTCAAGAAACCTACATGTGTGAAGGGATCGGGGTCTATGTGCTCTGTTTGTTGGGGAAAATGTTACTACCACTGAAACTGCTGATGCTACTACAGCATTACAGTAACAAAACTAATCAAGTGGTGAAGACAAAAAAAAAAAAAAACGAGAGCAAAGGGCATCTCACGGGTTTACTTGGATATGTTGGGCACCATGGGTCAGCTACAGAAGAGACTCATTGTCTTGCTCGAGGACTCTTCAGCAGGATAAACACTTGTGATGTGAACTTGAACCTCCACCTTCTGTTTGGAGAGCTACACTCACTTCGCCACACTGCTGGCATATCCAGAAAATCATTCAGTGGTTTACCACAGGTTTTGACATTATCCTCGGCTACAGTGTAGTATAAGCTCTGCTTCGAAAACATGGAACATGCCGAACAGTGAACATTTGTAAACCGTCTTGTGAAGGATATTCCTTTCATTTCATGTCAGCACCGAGGAAGTTTCACATAGTTTGACGTGTTCACTGAACCAAAGAAATGATAGCACATTTCATTTAAGTTGCAACCATGCAGTTAATCTTTTTGATAAAACTGTTTGAGGCGTGAGCAGTACCACAGAAAAGCAGACGAAGGTTCAAGACGGTAACTTGATCCCCTCAATAAACCTTATTGTGCCAGTGCATTTTAAAGATGCGTGTCCTTCCTCAAGGCAGACTAGAGGAGAGAGAGGGAAATGCTTTAGCACAATAAAGGTTATTAAAGGGATGAGGTCTTCAACCTGTTTATACTTTCCTCGAAACGATTTCTTAGATTCTGACCATTTCATATTTTAGCTGCTTTTGTAATATCATTGCATTTGCAAACTCCTTGGCCTTGTTCGTATCCAAGACAGATTAAGTAAAGTCCTGGAGAGAAATATGTCTGAAAATAGGATCTTTGCAAACTCCATCTTAGTAAAAGCTCTGGCAGAACAAAGAGTCCCCCACAGCACAGTGTATCCTCATGTGCAAGCCTGTTCCCTGTGGGTGGAGAATTTGCACATGTAATTAAGACTCCTTCAGAGGCACTGCGACCTTTGACCTTGACTGCTTGTGAATGGTGACCTTTTGAAATTTCTTGAGGACCAAGGATCAGTAAATGTGGCTTGGTGTCTGAGCTCTGGATGCTGGTAAGACTAATGAGGGAGTGGAGTGTGTTGTTTCTATTGGTATTGCTCCTAGACTAATCCCTGACAAGATCTGTGCGTGATCCGGGTGACACAAAGCTTAATGCTGGAGACCCCTGGATAATGTTTCCACGAGTTGCCTTGTACTGTCTCAAAATGTTATTTAAAAATGCTTGATAACATGATAGATACACTTGTCAGAATTATCAGCACAATTAAAAAAAATGAGAGAGCAGTGTCAGCCTTCGTCCTCACACATGCAGGGCCAGTTTGCAGCTTGCTCAATAGGGCACACAATATGGTTATTGTCTCCTCAGCACACACTCCCTCTCTCTCGCTTTCTCTCTCTCTCACACACACACACACACTGATTGACTTTTGTCACTCTTTGTTCTTTAGACAGACAGAGACTTGTTGTATCAGGAAAAAATAACAGAGTGATTCAGAGATGCTAACTGAGTTAGCTGGCCTGATGTCAGCCTGCACACAGCCGTGCTGTTGTTTTTACAGTACTTTTTGAATAGAAACAAATACAGGTTTTAAACTTTCTCTCTGTCTCTGTGTCTCACTCTCAGTGTCTCTCACACACTCCCTCTTCCCGACACACATCCACAAACACACTCACACACACACACACACACACACACACACACACACACACACACACACACACACACACACACACAGATCATTCACCTTTGGCCCGTTGTAATAGCTGCTCATGGCCTTATGCTCTTGCTACCCAGCTCCAGATGTTCTCGACACACCCCCAGGAGTCCTACAGAGAGAAATTTACACAGACACACAGTCAGACACAGACATGTGCACATACATGTGCACAAACACAGACATACACATACACACACAGTCTTAAAAAGCTTTGACAATTTGTCTCTCTGCAGGCCACCTATTAAAGTCACTTAAACTCACACAAATCTACCCCCAGTTGTGTTTCAAACACACACAAGAAGCTCGTCATGTCAAATAGCATATGGGTATCCCTTTGGATTCTGAACTAGCAGTATAGATAACAGCTGACATATCATAGGAATCATTGCTTTTGATTAGAATCTCTTAAGAAGTCGCACTTTTCTGCAACAAAGCTAACATGTACACTGATATTTATCCATCTAAGAATAATAACTACCATAGTCTGTTCAGCATTGGTCTCATGAAAACACATCATAAGTTGTTGAGTTGCCACAGTGACCTGCAGTTTGACTGACTGAAGGGTGCGGTAGGACAGGTTTTCACCTGCAAAATGTCAAAAACCCTGTAGCTGTGAACAGCAGTGGCTGCATTTATTTCACAAGCCATCAATCTATGAGGTCAACACTTTGAATGAATGTTATTGTGCTACTGAGTGCCTTCCTGTTTTACACATGTACTGTAAAGGCCTCTGTGTAACAAAGGCTGAAAGGGAGATAGAAAGGAAAAAGTGAACAAGTGTATGTGTCACAGATGCAGAATGCACAGAATTCATTTTTATTGGTGCATTGTAAAGATGCTTTGCTTCCTGCAGGGAAGCTTGTTATGATTTAGACAAAGTATGTGCAGAAAACATCTGGCCTTGAATGTGTGCGTGCCTGTGTGTGTGTCCCTTGTGCACAATGATAGACTGAACACATGGTGTACCCAGCTGTCCCACATGTTCATGCTTGGATATGAATGTTTTGGATGTACCTTTGCTCTTGGGCATACAGAAATCAAACAAGTAGTTGTTTAGTCCAGAAAATTCAATCGTGTTTTCTAATAGTCAACATTATAAATGTGTCTCACATGTCTCGGTAGCTGACCCATGTGTGTGTGTGTACACCCACAGGGCATTATTTGCATATGATGGAGTGACCAACAAGCTCAAACTGGCTGACTCAGGAGGTAAGATCGACTGTCATGTGTTCTTCAGAAATGGAAATTTTGAATACCTAAGCGCCACAAAGAATGATGCTTGTCAGCTTCCTCACTTTGGCTTGAAAGGAATTCACATGTCTTCTTGCATTTAGTATCCTGTTTTTCTTTTGTCTTCCCCCAACTGTCCTTTCTAACAGCGGGTGGTGTGGCAGAGCTGGCTGGGAAGTTTCACATATCCAAGCCGCAGTATGGATTGTGCAAAGTGGGAAGTGGGGAGACAGGAGGCCTCCGGATTGCTATGATCAGCTGGGTGAGTGGCAGACAGGCTCCTGGGGCTTAGCTCATGTAAGCTTGAGCCTATCATAACACACATACCAGCACAAATTACAGAAAAGCACATATATATATATATATATGCTTTGCACATACACACGCGGGCGCTCACAGATTCATTTAGTTACAGCAAAAGTCATTTAGCAGCTCCAAGATAATGGGTTTAACATCTTAAGTCACCACATACAGACAAATCTATGCACTTATTAACCTGTAAAATGCCTTGGAGAAAATCCTAAGCTGCTTGGCTTATTCACATTCTATGGTTCTGTTTTGACACAGGCTTACTTGGCATCTGACATGTGGGAAAATTCTGTGAGAATGTGCTATTATGTAATTGTAGTAAAAGACATTTGTCAGACATTTGTGGGACACTTAAATGATTCAGAATGTTATTTTTACATAGAGTTGTAGCACTGTTTTAAGCAGGCAACTTGCCACTGCCTGCGATTGGCTGAAACTGGCGTAAAAATACAGTAAATAAACTCTCATTATCCATTTACATAGTGATTGACATAATATTCGAGCTTTCAGTTTCTTCCAGTTTTATGAAATGGAGATTAGTCTTTATGAAATCATTGCATATCCTATTGTTCTTCAGCCTGTCTTCCTCCTCTTTTTTTAGCCTCTTCAGAGAGAGGTATGAAATGAATGTAAGTGTCTACATCCTGTGTTTGTCCGTAGGTTGGCCCAAATGTGGATGACTACCGCAGGACAGAATGTGCCAGCCACGTTCCAGCCATCAAGAGCTTCTTCAAGGTGCAGTAGATCAAGATGTGCTTCACCACTTATCATTTACCTTTGGATCTGACTCGTACTAATGTTCACTTCATCCACTAGTTTGTTGTGTTTGTTTGTAGAAAAAGTTTGGACTTGTTCTGTTTTCTGTTTTCCCTGGACTCTAGACTTTGTACTTTCAAAATCTATATTTACACACAGTAGTTTACTTTGTATTGTTTTGAGAGTTTCCTGTCCTCAGTCCACTTCCTGTTCTATTGGTGTGTTGGTCCTGCGTATGATTGGTCTATCTGCCATGTCACTACCAAAGGGAGACTGCAAAGTTATGGGTTGAAAGCTCCATTGTTTGTGGTGTAACTTGTGGGCAGATGACAAACTCAAGTGGTGACAGGAGAGACAGGAAGCAGAGAATGTAGAGCTTACACTCAGGTGCATGTGTATGTATAGGAGCAACTCCATCCATCCATGTGTTAGCTGCAAATTCTCCTCTATCACTGTGCCCCTCAAACAGTGTTTATTTAGTGTTTCAATCTAACTAGGAGAAGTTCCGCTGACCTCTAGGTTTACTAGTTTCCAAATAAAGGCATCACCCAGTCAACTGCAGAAGCATCTGGGGAATGTTTGTTGTTTTTTTGTCTCTCTTTTTTAAACAGAAAATTTTGAGTCTGGAATTTTGTGAGCTGCTGTCTTTAAACCCCTAACCCCTGAGTGAGACTGTGTATGTGTGTGTTTGTGTGTGCATGTGTGATCACCCTTGGGCCTCTGTACATTTTCATGCGGGATTTCAAAATTGTACAGAAATGATTTCATGGTCAGTATGGATGGGGGGTGGGGTTGGGGGTGAAGAAAATTGTTTCTCCTTCTGTGAATTGTGGGAGAACAGCGACCTCTAACCTCAGCAAACACACACATGTATACATTAAGGCCTGTGACATGACAATGCAAATAACCCCTCGTCACTGCTGCATCTGCTAACCTGACTCTCTGTGACTATGAGAAAAAAGGGGAACAGGAATAACTGATTTTAAATTAAGATCAAAGTCTTGTTCTGATAGTTGTTATCTGAGCTGAAACTTAAGAACTTGCAAATTTAATTTTACATTACTCAGCAGTGCAAACTAAGATTTATTAGTTGAAGATGACTCAGACTGGAAGAGAACATACTGCATCACCTTAAACCACGGACATTATAGCCAAGCATATGGAATGCATTTGCAGAAATATCCTGACCCAAAGACTGTGGTGATGATACATAACTGTGTTATCTCGTCCTCAACTTTGCCAGCAGACGTGATGTTTTTCACACTCAGTTAAAGCCACGTTACTGCCTTTAATAGCCTTTCCCATCAAGTACATTTTTCTTGAACAAAAAGGCATTTTTTTTTTTTTTACTTGCTTCATATGCTGACAAAGAATAACTAAAATATCAAGGGAAGCTTGTAAAACAGCTCAACTCTCTGCCTCATACCTCTGTCTGGGAAATCATCTGGGGTTGATGTGTGATAAATTCTTGAAAAATGATTACGCACACTGGTTTGTTTTATAGTATATGTCAATGTTTGATTTTTCCAGGAATGTGAAATTTCACAGCCACCCGGTAAAAATGAGTAGTCCCAGAAGTGACACTGTACACAGTTTCATATTATGTGTTTGTGCAGACCTCACAAGTATCTAATTTATCAAGAATTACAAGCATCAAATTGCTTCTATTTCAGACTCCAGATGTCGATTCTGCATCTTATCCATGAAAAATTTGTGGCAACACACGGTTGATCAACCAATAAATAGTCAGTTAATTGATGAGTCTATCCTTTGAAAATGAATCAACAACATATTTTTGGGTTTAGACAGTTGACTGGACAAAACAATTTGTGATGTCCCCTTGTGCTCTAGGAATTTGTCAAAGGCATATTTCACTATTTTCTTAGGTTTATTACATATTACATATTACTTTATGAATTTTTTAGCTGCAGTGGTGCCTAAGAAAGCATCTCTATGAATGAATTTAGTCTCTCAGCACTAGTTGAAGGATATTTTTAGGGTAAAGGAGATTAAAATAGTGGGGTTGTAGATAGTTGCCACTATTATCACTATTGTCCACATTTAGCAGACAACAGATCCGCAGCCTTTAATAAATCTGATCTCTTGAACTCACGATGACGGGGTAACAAAACTACAGAGATAATCTACATACATACATTGACTGATGATGAAGAACTGAGGGCTCAGTTTGTTTGTTGTCTCACAATCTTGGCTTTTGTTGCCTTGGATACAGTTAGTAAAACTTTCCCTTGGCACTTTTTATTTGTTTGCTTTTGTTATTTGTTTCTTTCCTCCCCTCTTTCTTTCCCTCTTTTTTTTTTGTTTGTCTCTCTCTTCTGGCTTGCTATGCTGCATGTCCCAGCTGGAAGTGAGGGGGTTTTGTCAAGGCGAGTCTGCAGCAGCAGATTTGGGTGTGTTACATAGTGCACTCTAGTGTGGCATTAAGTTATGAAAACTAAAATATGAATAGGGTGCAGATGTTTCCATTGTTCTACATCGCCATTGAAATAATAGCACAGTAAAGTAGAGTTAGACCAGCTATGTGTGTGTGTGTGTGTGTGTGTGTGTTTGTGTATGTATGGGCATTAGATGTTAGATACTGTTACTGTGAGCAATGCATTGTAGGAGACGTGAAGTTGGACATGAGAGGATCTGTACAGTAGGCAGATATGAGAAAAGGGTAGTAGAACTGGAGATAAATACACAAAATAAGTTTTGATAATAAAATCCATCTTCAGTCAATCAAATGTACGAAAAGTTTAATCTTATTTGACCACATGACAGCTTGGCACAAAGTCAGCTGTCTTTTAGGGTGCGGCAGGAGATTTGAATTGCAACAAAGAACAGTAGTTCTATTGTAAATAAGGACTAAAGCAACACATTTGGGTCAGGGCACTAAACCCTGAAGCACTTTGAATCATTCACATCTGTCATCTCGCCCTGACACACACTTCAGAGCAGACTCTTTGGTTCATGTCAACCACCTTAAGCCCTTTATACCGTATGTCTTATTTCAGCCAAGGAGCTCTCATTACAAAAGCAAATGTCATGACTTCTTAGGAGCATAATATGTGATAAATAGAACAAGAATATGGTGGGGTTTTTTTTTGTATTTTGGTTTACAGTAAAAGGAAAGTAAAATCTCTAACAAAGTCTAACAAAACTAAAAGTCAGAATTCTACATGCAAATAATGATATTTACCATAAGTATCCCATCTATCAAACCTTAATGGGGGGCACATTAGTATCCCCACATCCACCTACTGCCTCTCACAGTCTGAACAACTCCTGAGTAGGAGAGAGACTGTATGAAGCAGTTCGGTTCCAGAGCACAGAGACAGTTTGTGCAGAGTTGAGCCCAATTATAGCGGGAAAGTAACTCTCAACCTGTCACATCACCTCAAGCTCCTTTTCCTCCCAGAGAGTTTATATCCTTACACTCGTAGTGAGTTTTCTCGCCAGGGTCATCAATGTCACAGATCCTAAAAAGATTGCGAATGCCTCCTATTTGACCACTATTTTGCGATTTTCCCATGAAAATATCTAGAGATAGAGTGTGGATAGGGGTGATGATGACACCTTTGTCTAACTAGCGCTGTTTACTATTAGAGATAATAACGGGATAGCAGTGCTATGAGCTCAAATAGGAAGAAAGCTTTCTGTTTGGCACTTGTGAAGTCAGTACATTGCTGTGAAACATGGGCCTAAAACTGCGCAGAAAGAAGAGGGTAGAGAATATTTAGGGCAAGGTGGCAGACTGAAGTGAGGGAAGGGGCTTCATTTAATCTCAAACACTTAAGATTTACATTTAAAAAAAAAAAGACTAAAAGAAAGGTTTCGTTTTGAAATGTGAAACCCCAAGCATTTGAAAGCTGTCGAATGACTCCCAGCCATGATATGCTGTGAAAAGAGTTATGAAAAATGTATGAAAATAATAAGAGGTGTAAAATTATGTAAAGTATGTAAGGAAGAAAATATAGACATATGGACAAACATTTCTTTTTTTAAGAGCAAACTGTTCTGATATTGCAAGTTTGTCAATCTGCTAGTCACCTGCATACAGCTGTCTGAACTGTGCGTGTTTGATAAAATCCATTTGCCCTGCTTTTATAAGAACCAGTCTGCATTTATTTTGAGTATGAGCGATGCTGTTACTAACCCTAGTTTATGTACCTCCTCTACTTAATGAATCACAGTACATTAGGATGCAGGATTGGTGTCAGAACACTAGTAACAGTGATTTTCTGCACTTGCACTTGGCGAAACTGAACAGTACACTATGCTATGGATTGTTGTTTCCATGATTTTCCCTGGCAGCACTGTGGACTGCTTGTCTGGTCTCTCTCTGTGTATGTCTCTGTGTGTGTGTGTGTGTGTGTGTGTGTGTGTGTGTGTGTGTGTGTGCAGTTGGCAGCCAGAGTGATATGGATTATACACTGTACTGACATGTATTATAGGGCACATTGAATGCTCTGTTCAGTGTCAGTGTCAGTGTTGTCACTCAGATAAAGCTGTGGTTTCCTGTTGGAGGCTGACAGACCTGGCCCTCCATCAACAAGCCTGGACTCACTCTCCATGGAAATTATTCTGAGGTCCTGGTCGCATACAAATGCCTGTGTACATACACGGACATGAGTTCGGCCCATGTTTGATCTGTGCTATAGAAAAAGCAGCAGTGGAACACGATATTTTGTTCTGTGATTGAGAGATATTACCTGTCAATAGTCTTTTTTTCATATCTCTCCCCTAAGCTTGACTTCCAGGTATTGAGCAAGTGTTGCATATGAGGTCTGTTCTTGTTTTCTACCCTTTTTGCAAACACACATGGTTTCACGCCCTCTTTTTCTCACTGTCGCTGTTTCAACCCCAACTTTTCATTTTTTCCCATCTCCCCCTCTGCTCTCCATAACCATCCAAACCAATGCATTCCTGTCCTTACACTAAAGCCAGGGAGTGTTTTCATTCTCTCACAATCCTTATAAGTGAAGCCGTTGCACAACTGTTTGGCTCCAAGTTTGCATAACTCCAAGTCAGACCAAGAGAAAACCACCTGAGGGACTGTGTGTGCTTGTGTATGGATTTCTAGCCTTTGTGTGTGTGTGTGTGTGCGTGTGGCTGCAGTACAGTATGTGAGGGTGGATTAAATTCACATCTGTCTTAGTCTGTTTGCCATGTCATCTCTTTTCATTATATGTCCTCCTTGTTACAGGAAGCACACGTGTTCATTAGTGCAGAGAAGGCGGAGGATGTGACAGAGGAGAAGATAAGAGCAGAGCTCAGCAAGGCCCATGCCCATGCTCCTGCACAGTGGGTGAGGAGGAGCTCCAGGTCTGCTGACAAGGAGGAGTTAGTGGTGAGTCTCCTGCAATACCTCCTCAGTCCATCAGATGGAGGCAGAGACTTGCATAAGCACCTTGTGACGCTAGTTAAGGTGGAAACTCAGCATTGCAGGTTACCTCTGGAGGGGCTTCAGGGTTTTACTTTTGATGCCAGTATGTTTATTCAGACATGCTTGTGTAAATAATGAAAATAAAATGGCATTTGAGAGGGTTTTAAACATAGATATTGAAAATTATACAGTATAATACAGTGACATGAAAACGCCCCTGTATGCATCAGTGGGAAGTTTAAGAATTTGTGGCTCTGTATTCACTGTTCCTTTGTTTTTCTTATAGGGGACAAACTACAGAAAAACCAATGCTGCAATGGAGATGAGACGAATTAACAGAGACTCCTTCTGGGCACGTGCAGAGGTATGCTAATGTAGCATTTAAGATACATAATTTGATATACTATAGCTGCGTGATTACTGCCATTTACATTTAGAAAGTGACTGAAGAGGGATATTTTTATGCCTCCCTGCCGGTGCCAGCTGCAACTGGATGCATTACGATGCATTATTCTTGAGGGAATATCTTCAAATTTGGTACAAACGTTCACTTGGACTCAAGAATGAATTGAAAAGATTTTGGTGGTGAAAAGTCACTGTGACCTTTTTGGCCATAACTCAATTATTCATATGCTAATTATGACACAGTTTAACACAAATGTCTAACAGGATAAAATTGCAAGGTGTTAATTGTAGTTTTTATTTGAAAATGAAATGAAAGTACAATATACTGTTGTCTCACATTGTTACCCTTTGCATATCAGCGTGAAGAGGAAGAAAGGAAAGATGAGGAGAGGAGACGAGCAGCAGAGGAGAGACGGCGCCTTGAAAGAGAAAGAATTATGAAGGAAAGAAGGGACGCAGAAGAGAGAGACAGAAAGATGAACGAGAAACTACAGATGATTGAGGAGCAGAGGTTGGAACAATGTCTGCTTCCTGTCAGTAGTGCCCTCTAGTGGCTGTGTTTTTATATGGCCTGGAACAACAAAGTTCACGGAGGTCCACAATAAATGCAATGAACTTTGGACAATGATTTTTGGATAACAATAATAAAATTGAGCTATTTCATTTGCTTTTCTGTTTCACAGAAGAAAACAGGCAGAACAAGAAGAAGAGCTGCGCAGAAAGGAGAAAGTAAAATGGGTGAGTGACAAGAATTTCATATCTTTTGCACATAAAATGATGAAAAGTCCCTCTGGCAAAAGCAAACCATGTTTTTATGGGCTTTAACTGGATGTTAACTAGCACCAAACGCTATGAACAGATTATTCCATTACTCCAGTACATGCAAACTTACACTGGCTGCCTGTTACATTCTGCATTGATTTTAAAATTCTACTTATCAACTTTATAGCATTAAATGGCCTTGCTCCAAATTACATCAAGGACCTATTAATCCCCTCTCTGCCTGGGCTTTCACTTAGTTCAGTGGATGGAGCGCTGTTGGTTATTCCGGGGTCTTAGCTAGTGACTAAGGCTGTGGAACAGTCTACCAGATATCTGACAGGCAGCATCATTAATGTCTTTTAAAACTCTTCTAAAAACATGCTTTTATCGGAAAGATTTCATGAGTGTATTATTCCCACTATGGACAATTTATATATTCATATAACTTCATTTCTTTACCCTCCGTTTTATGATCTGTTTGTTGGTTTTTTTGTTTGTAATTCTTGTTTTTGAATCCCCCCTTTTCTTTTTTGTTAAGCACTTTGTGACTTTGTTAAAAGTGCTATATAAATAAAGTCTATTATTTGGCTTGGGGCTTTGGAGTTTGGTCAGACAGGCTTGAACTCATTTACCCCCATGAAAGAACTGGATTGACCGTGGGGTGTGTGAGGTCTGACTCTAAATCTTTAATTGTCTCAGAGGACACTATAGCTGACCCTTTGATCCATGTGAGGGCCACAGATGTCTGCCACAACATCTGCTGATGTGCAGAGACTAATAGATTGGCTGCTGCGTGAACAAAGACAACAGTGGACTGATTTAAATTTACAGGGTAAAGTGGGTTGTATACCCACTGCTGATAATTCAGCTTATAAGAAGATAACTAATACAACTGATAAGTCCTTCATCATTTTAGAGCCGAGCAAATGAAACTGTCACTGAATCCTTGTCACACACTATGAATAGTCGCTATGCATATAAAGCACAACACATAAAATAGCAACACGCGACAGACTTCTTTACATTTAGCATACAATTATACAGTGTGCTGAATGTACAAACACTTGTATGCATAGGTTGTGCATGCTTGTGCATACCATGTGTGATATACCAGGTGTTATTGTAGAGTAAGAGAAAAATCTCTGTGGGATGTGGGCTGTATGTACGATCGTGGTTTGGAGGAGGTGTTCCTCACTAGGGTTACAAAAGTAGCTCTGGCCTTTACTCGAGGCTGTCTCAGAGCTTGGATATGAGTGCACACAGCTTACAGTATGTCTAAATTTTGTTGTGTTGATGTCGGGGATGCCTAAGGGAAAAGCTTAGTTTAGTTCAGTGGGCACTGATTTCTGTACTATAAGAAGGGTTTGACGTGAAAACACTCACATTTCTCACTGTTTGAAGTCTCAGGTTTTGTTTCCTCAGCTATGTCAAACAATTCTATTTTAAATGAAGAGATTAAAAGCGATAAAATGCGCATGTGAATGTGTACATATGATTGCTGCTGTGTTTCTGCACTGACAGGAGCAGCAGCAGAGGGAGCATGAGGATGATATGAGGGCTCGTCTTAGAAGGAGCGAGTCCATAGAGAAAGCAGCAGTAAGTGAATTCTTAGACTACTATAAACCTACAGCTAACATCACTGAATATTACTTTAAATTTGCACTTCGTCAAAGACCTGAATGGGCCACACATTCGCCATTAGAGTGCTGGATTTTCATGAAGTCTGTTGAATAATTTAAGTGTCCTGCTTACATTGACTTATTGTACATAAATGGATCTGTAGGAGGCAGCAGCATTAGTGTCCCAACGATCCATGAACCCGAGGGAGTTCTTCAGGCAGCTGTCATCGTCATCATCACAAAGTCCCACCAGCCCTGGATCCTCCCGCACTGGTATGTGGACGTGTGTGAACTTAAACAGGCAGTGAAGCCACCACTCGAAGATCTAGATGAGTTTTTAGCGAAACTCAAGGATCAGCCCCAGATTACAGTGCAATTTTTGATATACAATATGTATTCTCTCAGTGTCTGAACTACTGGCAAACTGTTTTCTTTCTCTCCAGGCAAACCATTCAGACGATACCAGCGCAGCCTGACAGACACAGCTTTTATCTTCTCTAAGGCAGAAGAGAGCAGGGCGTCCTCCCCTCGCAGTTCTCCACTGGTCTCCCCCTTCTCCCGGCTTCCTCCCTCACCCATCTACCGTGCCATGTCTCCCCCCATGAGCCCTGATTTCCGCCCTGTCACCTCTCCACAAAGGCCCAGAGCACCCATGTCGCCGCCCACATCACCTCTTCGCCCTGCCCCTCCAATTTCAGCCCTGCCCAGTGTTCCTCAGACTAACAGCCAAGCTCAGGCTGTTGATGAGCCCAAACCTCCATCACCTACAGAACCTTCAGCGCCTCCGGCCTCCCCTAGCCTCTTGGCTTTCTTGTCCCCCAGTTTAGTACAGAACAACTCCTCTCAGTCACACCCAGAGGCCCCACCCCCAAATACCCCGACCCAGCCAGAGCACTCAGCTTTCTGCTTTGAGCCTGGTCTACCTCCACAGGCTCCAACTGCACCGCTTCCTGAGAGACCACAGCCAAATACAGGTAGGGTGGAACATGACGCATTGAAGTATTATTTTGGGATCTGATTATATAATGTCATTATTTGTCTTTTTTTTTTTAAAACTAATCTGTGGAGTTTTATCACAAAAACAACAAAATGCCCATTCAGGGTGAATCAGTGTTAAAGGGAGTATATTACTCTGCTTATTTCTCATTTGTTTGCCAAAGACATTAATCATTTGACATTAAATAATGGTTGTTAAAAATTTTTATTACAGGCTAAAATGACTTAGATGCTTTTGCCAAAAACTACTCCACATACTCCAGACTGTCTAAAGCAGCCAAGACATATGAATCAGAGGCCTGTTATACAGAAATGACAGAGCTCAGAATAATTTTACAGTCCAGTCACAATTAAATATTCCTAAAATAACCACATATACTCTTAGTAATGCCAAGCTCAAGTGAAATGTGCACCCAGACAACCTGGCTTTTGCATTCTTTGTAGTTCAGTTTTTCTAACAAGGACATACAAAACCCTCTTAAGTACTTTTACAACATGTAAACTCATCAAATGTACCGTAGTTTTGTTTCATTAATGGTATAATTTTCCAATCTACAGACCTCAACACAGCCACTCACGTGCACACTGAGCTGGTCTCAGACATTAGCTACAAAGTACAAGCTGTACTGGTGGAGGAGGACGAGGAAGAGGATGTAGAAGAGCACGAGGAAGATAAGGGGGTAACACAACCAGAGCCATGTGCTGTTACCACAGAACCAGTCCAGACTGAGGCAGAGGAGCAAGAGCAAGAGGAGGAGGGAGAGGAGAAGCAGGAGGAAGAAAAGGAGGAAGAGGAGGAGGTTTTAAAACAGGAAGCTGAGCCTGCATCACAGGAGGAGCCAGTGGAGGTGGTGCAGGAGGAAGATGAGACAAAGACAGATGGAGAAGAGAATGACCAATCAGAAGACAGTCAGGGCGCTGCTGAGCCTGCTGAGCCTTCAGAGAAAGAAGAAGAGTCAGCAGTCATAGGTAGCCCTTGTGTTCTTGTATGCTGTCATTTTGTCTTGTTTAACATTTTATAAGGAATATTATTACTGTACTGTAGCTGTCTAAAAATGTAACTGGCATTTGATAAAATGGTACACGATGACAAAAGACTACAACATGATCATTATTTCAGATGCCGAGCCAGTTTTTCAAGAAATCAAACACGAGGCCGTCATCCCGTCAACCAATGGGATTACGAATGGAGAGGACACACAGGAACAGAATGGCATAGGTTTGGCAAGAATTCATTAACAATATTGTAATACATTCAGACATTCATTCTCTGTGCTGCTTGGACTGTGTGATGAATGCTTTTTACTCTTGTCTTCCTCAGAGCGATCTTTGAGTCCGTCTGACACAGAGCTCAGCTCACCGGAGCTGGCTGTGTGCTATGATTTTCAGGAGGAGGATGACATCACAGAGGATAAGGAACAGGAGATCTCAGAAAACGGACAAGAGGTACTGCCTCCACAAAAACACAAACTGTACTACTACAGTGTCTTGCACTAATTTGTTTGGAAATCTGTTCTTCTTAAAAAAATGTATTGTTGACTGTATGGTTCCTTCCTCACTGGTGAGGAATATTAAAACAGAGAAGGTGTTATTCTATATTTTAAATTTTTAATAAATCCCCCAATAAGGCAAAAAAACAACAACAATGTTATTAGTCAGTCAGTACTCTCTGACTGCCCTACACTGTCTGTGGAGCCCAGCCACAAAACCATTGGTTCCTAATAAATATGTAGATCTTTGAAATTGGGTCACAAACATATAGTTTCATGTTTTAAAAAAAATCAGTTGTCAGTCTAAAGGCATTATTTTCACTATTATTTCGTTAATAGTTTTTGGACAACTGCTGAGCTTTATGCCACAGAGAAAAGATCTGGCTTTGGCTACACAGATCAATTCTTTGATAGTTCGGGATAGCCTCCTCGTGGGATTGTTGACAATAAGACAAACATAGAATAGTGCCTAATCTTTTAGATTAAAGTTCATACGAAGAAAGTTTCCATGAAAATGATTTTGTTTTCCTTGATTCTGTCATGAGAATTTTTGTTAAACAAGACATGTCTTTGATGATTACAACCTTTCTTTGAATCCATTTTCCTCTCCACCTCAGGTTTTAGCTGAGCGACAAATGTGCGTCCGAGCTCTGTATGACTACCAAGCAGGTAAGCTGCCATTTAGAGGATAATCGCCACGCATGTTCACATAAAGTGCCTCCACTTAAAGTAATTACACTGTGATTAGTGGGTCTTCACCATGTTATCTTGCGGTTCCCACAGAGGACGAATCTGAGATCTCCTTTGAACCCGGTGACATCATCAGAGACGTGGAAACGGTGGACAAAGCCTGGTGGAGGGGTTGGAGCAAAGATGGCCGTCAAGGCCTGTTCCCTGCCAATTATGTGGAGACCATATAGACAGACAGACACACTAGCGCACATACACACACAGGCACACACACAAACACACATACACACACAAGAGACATACACTAGCACACACACTCAGGGACACCATCTCCCCTTACGTTAATGCATGTTTTTACCTTAATCCTCCCACTGAATCTTTGTACTCTCTATTTTGTAGAAAGGATAAAGAAAAAAATGTGACTCTCTGTTTTGATGTTTTTGAAGAAAACAAAATATTCTCACAAGTATGCAGAAATTACCCAGCCTCATTTTCCTGGATAAAATAGCAAAGACCTTTTTCCTGGACCAAAATAACTTATTTCCTTTTGAGATACAGTAGGAATGTTGGTGGGAGGGATCAGATCATGATGACAAATGATCACAAACTTGCTTTTCTTGTAAGAAACACAAACAGATTTTTATAGTGTATAGTCCTCTTTTTGATCCACACATATAACAAGCATTCCATTCTGCTCACCGTTTGCTTTGTGTGTTACATTGCTAAAAAAAATAATTTACTGCTCTTGACTGGTATACTGCTATATAATCAAGATTCATGTATCAGACATCATCTTATAATCATCTTCCTGTATTTTCTGAGTTGTTCTGTAGCTGTGTATTTGTTACTGACAGTCTCACAGCACATTTTAATTACCCAAACCAGAACAGCAGCATAACTAAAGATAAACAAGCAAAGGAAAAAGGCATTGCATTGACACCTGTATTTCTCTCTCATTATCACTCTTTGGATGGGCTGTAGCCTATTTTGTTCATATGGTGACAAATCTCCATAGATTTTTTGACTCTTTCTCATCTTAATTTTTCCTAGATTTGAAGAAATTAAAACACTGTGTCCACACACAGATGATACAAAAATTTTTTTTTTTAAGTTTTAATCTTCTGTAATGTCTTAATTCTCTACGCTGTATATAAGAATGTATAAAAAAAAAAAGTCAAAGATTTTCTCTTTTTCTATACTTGGCTTGTATGTTTGTATGTTGTATGCTTGTTTGATGGTATATATGTTCTTTGTATTTACTCCAAACTTACAAATATATAGCTTCTACAAACTCGAACTGCTTCAAAATGTTTGTCTCCTGCTTTATTTCTCACATTCGTTTGTTTTCAACAAACAGAAACTGTAATGGATATTATCATTATTATTATTAACAGCTTTTTTTTTTTTTTTTGAGTGTCCACATTATTTCAAATATTAATTTATAGTGTAAATATTTTATGTTAATGGGTGCAGTCTTTAAACATCAGGAAAAATAGGTGTTTTCTTTCTTTTAAGAATGACGCTGTTTCTGAATAACAACAAATGCATTTTGCAGGAATTATACGTTGTGCAAAATAAACTACAAATAGGTCAGGTACGTGACTATTTATGAATAAACCAAAAAAATTAATGAATACAATTTTCATAGTTCAGTTAATATTGCTATAGACACACGAAAGTCTGATTTTGACAGATGAGATGAGATGTAGGCTCGATGAGAGTAGAATATATAACTTTTCAGCCTAAGTTTTGATTTTATTGGAAGAGTATGCATTAGTACCATCTTTTAATATTCAAGTTTCATGAGTAAACTTGATTCCAATAATGTGGTGTACTTATTGTGTTTATATGGATTGACTTCCATGTACTGGGTAGAAAAAAAAAAGAAAAAAAAAAGTTGTGTGAACTGTAGTGCTATAATTGCACCTATAGGTGGAGACATTGCCTTTTCCAATTAGCCAACAAGACAACCTTATTGAGACAGAGCTCATTGAAATGAACAGATTCCTCAGGACAAAAGGCAAAATATTTTGACAGGCAGAGAGGAGGCTCATTGTTACACACATTTTAGAAGTGGGATATCCAGACATTTCCAAAGCTAAAAATTGCTAATGCTGCTACACCTCAAACAGGATTTTCCCCCAGGGTAGTAATGATTGATTGAAAATGACATTAATATTTCTTAACCATACACCTTTAATATTTATGGAGGGGAGTTGAGGGGGGCAGGTTATGCTCTTGTAGTGCCAGTTCAATAACAGTGTTTGGCAGATGCGCCGCTGTTCTGAAATAGAGAGGTAATGTTTGACATGGGTCTCATCCTGCCTGAACTGATGCCTGTTGACAGACTGACTAAATCTATCCAGGAGACTATTCTGTCGAGGTTATCCCAGAAGGCTAATCATCAGTGATATGTGTGAAAAGGTGATGAGCCTCTTATGAAATACTAATTGGGTTGCAAGGAAAAGACCGTGAAAACCTCAAATGAGCAAGATTGAGAGATAGACAAAAAAAATTGTTAATTTCAGTTTTAAGGAGGCAGTAAAGAGGGAAACTTTAATATTAATATTATAACACCAATTTATATGATTTTATGTGTGTGTGTGTGTGTGTGTGTGTGTGTGTGTGCGTGTGAAAGATAAACAGCCACAGAGTGAGAGATAAAGTGAGAGAGAGAGGACATCTGTGCACGGAGAACGTGAAGGCAAATTGGTCTCGACAGTTGCGTCCCCCCACCTTCTCTCGCTTTTCCATATCCCCGTTCCCATGGTCATCCCCACAACTCAGCTCTATCCCTTGTCTCTTCAGATTAAACAGAGTGATAGGGGGACACCGGCTAATGTGCCAATCAACTTTCCCTTCCCCTTTGTCTTTAGGCTGTTCCTTCCTTCTGTGACCCTCATCAGTAACAAAAACCCTTTCACTGGGGTGCTAAACTAACAGAGGAGACACCCACCCCACCTCACCCCACCCCACTCCCTCCTCTCCTGACTTTCCCCTTTATCTCTTATTTAACTGACAGACCCTATCTGACTGGTTGAGGACTGACAAGTGTGGGATGGCCGAGGTGAAGTGGCGGTAGGGAAGTGCCACTCATTGTAGTGTTATCAGCACAAAGGCCAACGACAGAAACCTAATCTGACCTGGCTGCTGATGGCTTGTGGCTTATTGGCTGTGTTTCTGCTCTGAAGCAGATCCTGGCAACCCCCGAGATACTTGGAGGGGAGGATAAGCACAGACACACACAAGTGTATGCACATAGGCATGGACACACACGCATGAAACACACATGCATGCACACACAACCGCAGACGCCCACTATTCTTAGCCCCCATTTCAGAATCAACCTCCTTCTCCTTGCCACTCCTCAACCTCCGCCTGTCATCATCTAACTAATAGTTTGCTGCAACTTTTTGTGATTAATTATGTGTTTGGGAGAGGTGTCGGTTTACAGGAGACAAAAATCTTACCACAGCAATCTCTTAACTCTGTGTTCAGCCTTCCTTCTTTACTTTACCGTAGCTGCAAGCACCTGTGTGCAAGTGTGAGACTGGGACTTTTTTTTTTTTTTTTTTGGCTGTTCTGAAGGAGGAAACATGAAGGACAGGGTCACTGTGTCTCTCCTCAAGGCTTAAGGTTACCTTACCAATTTTTGTGCCAGAAGACTGCCCGGTTGCATCTTTCCCAAGTGCTATGAAACTTACAGTACCCATAGTGCTCTGCTTTCGTAAAGGTTTGGCAGAGCTCGAACATCCAGTGTTATTCTGAAAATACTTACGAAGCTCCTGTTTTTTTTTTTTTTTTTTCTTCCCTTGCTGAAATAAAGATCAGTGTTTGTAAGCACCTGTACATGAGAACACTCTCTGAGAAAATGGGTTTCATTTTCTTTTTGGCTCTTTGTTCTGCTGGGGCAACAGATACCACAGGCAATATTTCAACCATGGGATCAAACATTACCCATCGGCAACAGAAACTCCATTGCTTGCCTCGGTGGTGTCTCAGAATGTGAATCCACTTCTGATGCTGTTTGCTTTTGAGATGATCTCAAGGCTACAACCGTTATCTGGGAAGAATTTCTCTAAACTATTATGCTTCCTCAACATAAATCAGCTTTAGCTGGGTGATAATTCCATCTGGTATAAGTCTTGATTAAACCTTTGCTTTTAGACATCTCTCTTGTTCTTGACATTGTCAGTTTCTGTTTTCCCTTTAAAGATAATCTTCAAAACCGCTGAAGTAGATAACGCCTCGGAAGCTCCTGATGGCTCCAGCCAAGATTTTACTGTCAGCATAGAAACCGGCCCATTAACTTCTGAAGCCCTCTTTGGCAAAGCTCCCTTTCCCCTCCATTGCCATCAAAAAGCTATTTCCTTCGGCCAGTCCCACACAACCCTAACAATGAACAGAGGATTAGAACATCTCTCTGTCTTGAAGCAAAAAAAAAAGAAGTAAAAATGGATTAAAAAAAAAAAAATCTCTTTTTACCAGTCATTGGTGAAGACTAGTTGGCAGCATTTCCTCCCTGGGATTTTTCCTGACATGATTCCCAAGAGGCGGTTTTTGCTTTTACGATACAATTCCTGCACTTGCAATCAGCCAACATGTGGCATTGTGATCCAATCACAGAGATTTTTTTCCCCCCTTCAGTTCATAAATGGTTAAGTCTCTCAGTCCATTGTGAAGGAATCTTCAAAGTGGCTGGAAACCACAGGGGAACATTGGTAGTTGTTAATTAATGCAACAGACTCTGTACAAATGCTTTATTTTCCTGATTCTAAAGATGAAAAAAATAATAATCATGCTTTGAATATAGCAACAGGCTCGTCCAAATCTCTTACCTCATCTTCAAGCCGTTACCCTGGACAATGAAATGCTGTTGTTTCTCTGAAAACCATAAGTGATTTTTATTAACTCTGCTGTGGTTCCAGAAGAAATATCTCTCTCTCTGATTTAGGTTTATTGGATTTTTGTTCATACCGATCATTTATGTTTCCATTCAGTAAATTGACATAAAATGTGTTTTGCTAAAATGATCTTTTCTGGTCTTTATGACTATCATTGAATTTGAAAGAAATGGGAAACATGACAGAGGCTGTGGTAACCGCTGAGAGGCATCTAAAGCAAAATTGGCCAAGATAAATGACGGATAATATGGTTTAATCTTAAGATTTTCTAAATTGCTTTCAATCCAGTAAATGACTTTAAATGTTTTGGATTGCTTGTGATTGTGCCCATTTTCATATTTTTTAATAAACAGCCAGAGTAAAAAATTACACAAAGAATAGAGAAATATTGTCAAAGTAAATCATGTTCTTAAAATGAAGACTAAAACGTTTTCAGGAGTCACCAGTCAACATGCAAATGTAGGTAAAGTCTCTGAGGTCAATTATGGGGTGAGCTGTCTCTTACCCAAAAGACTATCAGGGGTGAAAGCCCCTGTCCCCTCGTGACTCACACACACACACACACACACACACACACACAAACACACACATACACCCGCTCTGGGTTTCACACACACTGCCTGTGGCACCACAATCACTGCCAGATGCTGTGACTTTCTCTCAGACAATTCATTTCACAAGTATCTCTGAAGGAGTGATGCCGATGGTGCCATTTGAGGGAGACAAATGTACGTGTGCTAGTGAGTGTTGGGGATATGCCGGTGGCAGTGTGTGAAAAGGACACATATGAGATCAGATAGAGTTGAGACTAATTCACAGCCTGGCCTGAGGACACCAAGCAGGATAATGTGAGACATCTTTTCTCACACCATTTAGGCTAGGCCCACAGGGACACGTTGTTTATTTCTTGGCTGAACTACATGATTTCAGGCAAGAAGTGTGGTTCGGAAACACGGAAAAAACATTGCACCATTTTATGCAGCTGCAAAAAAAAAAAAGAAAAGAAAAAACAAACAAAAAAACCAACATCAAAACGATAACAAAAACAGGGGGAAAACATTTAATTCAATGCAAAAAAAAAAAAAAAAAAAAATGATACTAGCCTAACCAACTCACATTTTTTTTTTCACCCTGCAATAAGACATGTACAACAACTTGGTCCTTGCTGTACCAATGATTGTGATGTTAACCATGCAGATTTATAGTGGATGAGACACCCAGAGCCAGCCCTTGGCAGCCCAGGCACAGTGCCCGCCCCAGGGGAGGGGGATGATGGAGAGCAAACAGCTAATAATTAATACCATGATTACACAGGCTGCAACAACATAGGGAGACAAACCTTCACACACCCCGGCAGGGACCTGACCAAGACTGATAGCACAGGAGC